ACAAAGACGTGCTGGAAGTGTGAGCGAATGTTTTTGGGGGTGAAAGGGAGCGCCCCGGGTTCCTGGAACACGATTGTGACGATATCGTTCCCAATATGGCGCTTTCGCAGTAACTGGAAAAGCACAAAGACAGTGGGAGGAATGAGAGTTACATAGGTATATAGACATACAGATACATATGTTTGTTCAATGGCATATTCAAACTGAAAAAAAATAATTTGCATGTTTCAATGACAGTCTGAAGGCTTTATGTCCACAAGCAAGTTGCAGCTTTTTATTTACAGAACAAATGGTCATCTATGGTCAGTGTGTTGGAACTTTGATTAACATACCTGTTGCTTATTGTTGGGTGTGTAGGGCAGCATGGTAGACACATGGAACATGATCTCGTAATCCTTGTAAGTGGTGTACAAGGAGTGAGTTCCCGTCGAGTCAGCTGAGGGGGATACAATTACATGTGAATTTCTCATGCTTTAAAATATGTTTTAAATAAAAAACAACTTGTAGGCCACTCTCTTCAGGTGGTTTTGGTTTCTTGGTCTAGACGCTCAGATTTGGAAAAGCATTTATAATCCCAAGTATGAATATTTGGTAAGAATACTGCCAAAAGCATCCTAAAAGTGTAGTTTCAGATTGACTCCTCCAGATATGCTCCTTTAAAATAAATAATGAAATAAATCTCTCTTGCTAGATATGGAGAAGTGTTCATATATAACATGTCCAGGAACACTGACAGTCAACTGATTCTCTCTTAAACATTTATATTACAAACTATCATATTATGAACAATTAACATCTTTATGTTCCCGATCTCCCTCTGTTGTGAATGCTGATCAGTGTTCCCTGATCTCCTAACAGGCTTTGGCCCTAAAGAGAGCCACTGCGTGTTAATAACCGCCTCCACAGTCAAACGATGCGCTCTTTTCAGAGAACAAAACAGTCGCAAGGTGTTTAAAAGGCCATACTTAACCTAGCTAGATTACCTCAATTAATTATACTCCTGTAGGGAGTGCTTTGCATGGCTGTATTTAATTTACCAGAGGCTACTGAAGGTTGTATTACATGTCCTGCAAAAGGTGACAAGGAGAGGTTTTTAGTCTCACATAGCATTATGGGGATGACTTAATTGATACAAGGATAGTGTGACGTTATATACCAAACAAACTTAGAGAGCATAATGTAGATACCAATCTTGTCTATAGTGAATGCAGGGTTGATCAGGAAAAGGAGAGAAGAAAACACAGTGAATGAGAAAGAAATAATCAAAAAAGGACCAAAAGAATAATATAAGACCAAAAGGCCATCTGTCACAAGTCTGAAATGAATGGACTGTGTGTTTTTAAGGGAGTGCATAAGGAGGAAACAGAGGAAGGAAAGCCAGAGGGATGAAAACAGACTGAGGGCAGTAATCTCAAAAGCTAAGGTGTTTCAAATGTCTGGGGCCTTATCTATAAACACCGGACTTGACTGGACTTGAAAATATATATGTGACACTTCCATGCACTATGACATTTTGAAGACTGCAAGAATTGCCAACACCAATGGCAAAGTAAAGAAATAAAGGTAAATGCTTTAACTGTCCTTACATAGTTCAGTCCAGTGTTTTTGCATTGCGTGAGCTTATCCTGAATCAAATCCTGATGTTAAAAGTGATTTTAGAGGACTACTACATAAGTAGTACTGTAGACTATGAAGTGTGTATTTTGTGTGCTCTTTGTGGACAAAAAGTCATGGCTCGTTTGCCTGGTTTACCCACAGTGGTTTCAACAACTGCCATTGATTTTACATATCAACTTTACATATAACAGTAAAGGTATTTCTGAAGTTAGTCCCAAACAATTAGCGATTCAACTATTATGAATATCACATATCACATGTCACAAGGTTCTGACATTGAACATGCACATCATGTCAGGGTGACTGAACACAAGACCCCTTTAATCAATAAGAACTTCTACCTGGTGTGTGTTAATTATTGTTTACACTTCTGCTTTAAATTAGGCATTGGTTTCAGTATCAGTGTAAGCCCATCTGGAGGTTTTTTCACAGTACTTGTAGGACAACTTGTCGTTTCTGTGCATTTACGTACTCTTGGTGTCCAGCTGGGCCCGGTACTTGGTGAACCCTTTAAGTCTAACTCTCTCCCCCAGCAGGTGAAGGAACTCCTCCAGTGCAGGACCAGCTGATTCGTTGTTGTACATTTCCTCCTCACTGCTTTGGCCTGCCATGCAGTACATCACCCCGACTTTCCTCTGGAAACTCAACTATGGAAAGAACCGAGATTGCGGCAATGAAAAGGGACGACATGTATATTGCTGTGTAGAAATCATGACAGAGTAACCATGATGACATTTTAGGGAGAGCTCATGTTGGCATTTTAAGAATAACCACCTTGGGTTGTTCTGCAGTGGTCGTGATGCCATTTTACAGATAAATCATGTTGACATTTTCAGAGGTTCATCTTTTGATGATTGCATCAGGGAACATGAGTATCAAAGAGCTTGTTTTGTATTTTTCTCCTTTTTAAGGTCGAGGTGTGTGTTTGTGTGGGTGTCAGTGTGTGTGTGTTTGCGTGTCAATATGTGAGGGAGTTTCTCCACTTAAATCCAACATAATAGTACCTGGCATTTAATGTATAAATAAAGCAAAAATAAAAAATAAATGATAAATCATTATGCTTCACAATGAGACATACCCCTTTTGTAAAAAAAAAAAAAACAACACCTACACATAAAATGATTCATAAAACACTATTAAAATAATGTGCTATACATAGTTCAGAATCACTTCTGGGAAACCTACGTCTTTCTCTCAAAGAATGGTCAATTATTCTTAATGGATCATATTTTTGAGTAACAATGATGTCAAAATGAAGTAATTTTTACTAAACCAATATGAGCAATCAAAGTCTTCACTGGGTCTCCTTACCCCCTGCTCATCCAGCTTCATCAGCTGCTCTGTGACCTTAGGTGTGTTGAGGGCCAGGCGCAGGCAGTGGACATTGAGCTCAGGCACAAGGTGCTCCAGCACCTCTTTGAGGGGCAGACCTCGAGCTAGACCGTGCTTGGATGTGGAAGGTACTGTATCTTCCAGGATGGAGCCCCTCAAGGTATTCAGCTGGAGACAGCATAATCAGAAGGAGAAGAAAAAGAAAGTAGGAAAAGCAAAGATCAATTTGAGTTTTGATAAGAAAACCAAACTAACCAAACAAACATGCCAAATATTAAATAAAATGGACTGTAATTTGACATTTACATCTGATACTGTTGCCTTATTCTCCCCAAGAACAGTATTATTATATTTTTGGTCATTTTCTATGTCTGCAGGGTTCTTTATGGCAGTTGTTTGGGTCCATCATAAAATCTTACAGTATCAGCAGATTGTTGCAACACGACCATTTCTCTTGTAACACAGCAATGCTTAATGTACCAGCTGCTGCCCCTAGCTAGTTACTCGTCCTACAAGCTGACTGTACCCAGGCTGCAAGCTTGACCAGGAAGGTTTGTTTACACCACTAGCACGGGAGATGAGGACTGCTGGGAGGTGGAGGGAAGCAGGGTCGGAATGAGCCGCATAGCCAAAGTGGGACATGCGTGCATGAGTCGAGCCCAGCAACCTCCCAGTGACCAAGGCCGGGACCAAACATAGCCTCCGACACCATCGGAGGCCAGATCATTTACAGCGGCTCTGACCAGGACTAGACACAGCAGGTTCGGGCAGGGACAGGGGAGGCATGAAAGGAGAGGAGCGATTTGTAAGTAACATTATACACAATCCATTGTATCGATACGTCCACTAGTATTTGTTTTTGGAAGTTATTTATTATTGTTATGTTTTAAACAACAAGACGTGTGAAGTTATACTGTGTTGAAATAAATGAACTAAATGTTCAGTCTACTTGCTGGTTGTTTTCACACATTCAGGATCATTCTGTTTCCATTATTATTTAGCAGGCAGCTGTTAAAAATACATATTTAAATTAATACCATAAGCGATATTGGCTTTAAATAACAACTACTACTTGACTAGAAAAATCTTGAGTCAGGGACAGCCCTAATACAGTCACTTCACAATAAGATTTTATCTTTAGAGCAAATTACACTGTACTGCATAAGCTTGATCACAATAACAGAATCAGATTTAGTCTGGGTCCCTCCCTTTCTGTTCTGTGCAGTGTGTTGGTTCTATCAAAATCTCCCTATAACTGGCAACAACGAAAGCTGCACAGCACTAGATCTGTAGAGTAAGTCCATGTTTGGGAAAATGCAAGGAAGCCTGTGATGAGGCCTGACGGCCTGTGCAATCAATTTGCAGTATAAGAGGGTTCTTTTCAAAGGATAATCATGGGCTCAGGATCGCTCATGAAATCAATGTTTCTTTCTACAAAATCCAGGCTTCTTCCAGAAAAACAGTGTGAAGACCTGGTTAGCTAAATGAGAAAATAGGCCGACGTAGGTTTCTGCCGCTGTAGTTTCCACTATGAAGGTTCTTAAGCTTTAGACTAAAACAAATTCAAGGATAACATCCATGAATAAATGTAGAAGGATCAGGACCTGAATATCTCATGAACAAATCGACCCAGCTGGGTCTCTAGTGATCTTAAGAATTGCTTATATGTTGTGTGTTTGATAGGCCCAACGTTGGTGCCAACACCTTCAAGAAAGCGTGCTCCGTTTGATCGTAATCTGCTGATATTTGCTCTAAATAGTTTAATGGGCAATCTCTATAAACGCCCATTAGAAGAGCCAATCAGCTGACGCATTTATTTTATTCCACAGGAAAGTTCTATTCAGGGTTTGACACACAGATTTACTTGGGCGGGCCGCCCGGTATATTAATGGTCTGGGATTCGTTTTAGCATTTTGTAGAGAAACAGAGAGAGACGTTATCTGGTGGATGTTTTACAAGCACGGAGCAGGTAAATCAACAGTTCGTATTCAATATGCGGCGTCATTAACAAGACTCCTCATTAATGTGTGGCTTGCCTGCTGTTGTGAAAATGGGAAAAATCCAAAAAAATAAGCTGTGTTTCTTGGGTGACTTTATAAAACTTAACCATCAAAAGTAATGGAGCAGGCACATATAGCCTTTAGGATACATGGAGAAGGGAGCAGAAAGAGGCGGGGCAGCCGGTGTGTGTGAGACAGAGGTGCTCTTGTGTGCGTGTGCCTGTGTGCGGGGAAAGATGAGGGGAAAAAGCAAGTGCACAAAGTGTTTTGTAACTAAACAATAAAACACAAAAATAAGGTGGATAATTAAGTAGAATTAAAATGGTGAAATAAGAAATTAGCTATAGAAATAGAAATAGAAATACACTATAAACATAAGGCTATAACTAGACCCAGTGATCGGTAATCGTATCGGCCGATACTGCTTCTACTGATCAGCGATTGGTGATCTGTGATCGTCCTCAAAAATCATGATCAGAGCACTCTTACCCTAAAGGTTAAATAAACTGAAGAGAAGCACTTACACTGAGGACAATAGCTGTCCTCAGTGGACACTGGACTTATCCCTTCAACATCAATGCATCCCACTCACTCCCACAGACACACACACATATATATCTATACCTGCCCAGCTCCCTGCTCTGAAAATAGCAATTAAAGAGGAGAGAGTGAGGGAAGAGAAGGGAAGAAAATAGAGGAAAACACGGCACAGTAGGTCGTGCGTCATCCCAAGGGATTGGAAGGGCTATTACTCATGGTGCGCTTTAATACAAGAGCAATGCTTTTCCTCCTCTACTCAAATACCTTTGGCTCTATTTTAGTCTCGTTTAGCTGCAAAATGGCACTGCTCAGTCCTTCACAGATGAAGGCTGACAAAGATGGTAGGTGGGCGTTCAGCTCAGAGAATGAGGACATGGATCTCTGGCTCTAGTGTGTCTATAGGAGATGGCAGTAAAGCTACAGGGATTCACAAAAGATTTCCAATTACTGCAAACTGCAGACTGAGCATCGGGAATGAACAGTTGTACATTACAAATGAAATCAAACATGCAATAATTTGAGGCGGTGTAAACGAATGGAGGGGGTGGCATCTAAGGTCTTAAGCCACATCTGACAACCTTGAACTGAAGCTTTTATAATGTCTCCCCCCAACTGGGTTTTTCAATAAGCAAGGCTGGGCGCATATCCTATATGTTCACGCCTACACAATATGAACTCATAAGAGCTTCTCAGTAACACCACTCAGTACAGAGTGTACTAAATATTGACACATTTGTGAACATGAACATTCATGGCTCTAGAGAGAACGGCTACAAATACAGTATATCTCGACGACAGATTAATTAAAAACAATTCAGATCACACAGCAAGAAATCAAGCTAATAAAACACCACGTCAGTATAAGATGTAAAAGGTTCATGTGTGCATTTCAATGTACCTCACTCGTTCTGAAGATGACCCTGTAGTTGTACTGCTGGCCATGCTCCTTGTGCTCATCCAACTTCTCCCTCCTCAGACTCACTGCCACTGGGCCGAGGTTCTCATCTACCCCCAGATAGTTCCAGTGCTCTAGAGATGAGGAGGAATGGGATTAATGGGGGGAAATTAAAGGACAGCATTGCCACTTTTTTACCACCATTTTAAAGCTCAACCCTATGGATCTAATGTGAGGAGGATGTAAACCATTGCATGTAAAAACAAAACTTCACAAATGCTAATGCAATAGATGAAGCCTTAGTGAAGTTTTGTTTTCATAATGAAATGCATAATGCAGCATTTGCTAAAATACTAAATACTGTGCCAGTGGTCTAAACAGTTGAAGCTTGGCTGTAAGAGAAAATGGCATTTTCTCTGCCACTAATGGGTATATCTTATTAAAGATATTTAATATATACAGTATACTGTCACCAGCATTTAAGACAGACAACCTCCCAATGGAGAAATGGAGAAACAGCTATCCAAATTTAAGATCTACAAATCTAAAAAGCCCATTTTGCTCACCTCTGAGGTAGAAGTACTTTCGGTAGTAATAGGCGCCAAGGTCAACATGTTCCACAATGTATCGTTTGGACCTGTCAGCATGTTGGCTTTGCCCATCTTTAGAGGCCTCCAACACAGCCACACCAGCATTGGTAAAATGAGTAGTTAGGGTGGCATCCAAAGGTCCTTCCTCCGTACTACCAGAAGAATTGCTTGAGCTCCCCCCACTCCCTATGCTGCCCTGCTGGAGGATGGAAGACAAGGAAAAGTAAAGCGAATAAGCTGACAACCATAACATTACATTTAATCTTAAGTGCATCTTCAACATGTAGAAATAAACTTAATTCAATCTCTTCAATCTGGATGTTTTCAAAATGGCCAGAAAGTTCAGGAAATAATATTGCAGACTACAGTTTTAAGATTAAAACTGAAAAGCCCCAGAGAACATTTTGAGGAATTAAGAAGAATAAGCATATTTAGATTTTTTTAATTAAATCTAATCATCCTATCCTTGCACAAAACTTACCTGCTTAGCAGGGGAGATATTCCTCTCAACCTCTCCACCAATCTCATTCCTGAAACAAGGGCAACTGAGCACCAGGTCATTGCTTTTGTCATCACCAGGGTCCAATGCAGGGTTGGCACTGTGTCCTCCAGCTCCCTCCTTACTCAGTTCCTCTTGTGAGCCACAGGGTGACCCATACACTCCACTCTGGTTGGAAGAGAGAGAGGACGTAGCCGAGGCAGAGGCAGCAGCAGCAGCCGAGGCACCCGTAGTGGTGTTCTTGCGTTTGGACCCAGATTGCCGACTTTGAACTACCTCATTGAGGTCAAAGAGTAGAGACTGGACATCAAAATGGGAAAAGCCTTTTTGGCACAACCAGGGTTTGGGAGGTGGGCCACTCTCATCAGTTTTGCCCCCATCTTCAACATCTGAGCCAGCCCTTGATGTGTCACCCTCCACTTTCACACTGCGCAGTTTACGGAATATTGACTCTCCACCTGTCTCTGACTTTGACCTCCTCTTTAAGTGCTTCTCTCGTTCCTTCAGTCGACTGGCCGGACTACCTCTGGCTGGACCTAAAGGTCCATCTGGAAGGTCCAGGGCAGCTTGTTTTATCGGGGCTACAGTAAGTAGCTCCGTTAGCCTCTCTGGAGCTGGACTTCGCTGATCAGGGGCCTCAGAGGACTGGTATCCCTTTAGCATGTCAAAGAAGCTCTCTCCTGACACGCCATGTTTATCTATGGATGAAGTGCTGCCATACTCCCGGTGCATGGGTGTCCACCCGGAAAAGGACCAGCCCTCATTACCATCACCATCCAGCTCACTGATAGTTATATCACTGTTACTGCGCTGGCGGATACGCCTCATGCCTTTGCGAGGTGATCCAAGATAGCCATCCGGTGACAAGAAGCGATTGTCCTTTCCCTTGCTCTGCATCTTACTCTTTAGTGTGTTGTGGATGTTGCGCAGCATGGATGAGTCCTGTGGGCTTATCAGGTGGCCCAGCTTGGCTGACAGATTGCTGTGGGCTGTGACGGCTGACACCCCTCCTCCTCCACTGCCACCACTTCCACTACCACCACTACCACCGCTACCACCGCTTCCTCCTCCTCCTCCTCCTCCTCCACTTCCATTGGTTGGGTTCCAGAGCTCCCCTGTGTCGGGTTTCTCTTCTTGGCCGAGGCACTTTCCGACTCCCTCGCCGAACTCCCCGAACGAGAGCGAACCTGGGCCCCACTCCAACCCCCAGTCCTTCTTCTTTCTCTCCTCCTCCTCCT